TATATGCTTTAGGGGGCTCAATAATTATTGATATCTAATCACAAAAGTATAATGAATCCGATTTATCTTTTGTGACAAAGATTTGCATGATCAATGTTGCATAAAATAAGAGGCAACAAGTTCCTATATAGCCTAGACCCAATCCTAGGAAATTTTGCATGCCCAGTCACTATAGTCTGTTTTATAAATGCAAGTATTTTTGTAATACACAGAAGGGGTTCTAGAGGAGGGGTGCGGGCTTTGGGACTTGGGAGCTCAGACCACAACGAATTAATAAAGCCCCCCTCCCATTTTCACCGCAACTTTTATAAATAAATTGAGGCGAGGCACGCGTAGAAATAAATGCAAGGACCCGGCCAATGAGCCCGTCACCCAGACAAAATAACCAAAACACACACTCACTCATAAAACACACATACCCACAAATATTATATATATTCTTATAGAACTGCCACTGTACCTAGATGACGACCTAAATGTCATTTTGCCCCCTTATTCTACATTAATTTAACGTCGCCAAAGCGAATTTGGACACCAAACCGATTCCAATCTGACCGATTCGCGGTGAATCAATGTAATTTGCACCCCCCCCCCCCCCCCCGCAAAAAGAGAGAGAGAGAGAGAGAGAGAGAGAGAGAGAGATATATATAGAGAGAGAGAGAGAAGGGAAAGAGGAGAGAAAGAGAAAGAAAGAAGAGGAAGAAGAAAGGAAAAGGGGGAAAATATAGATCGGGGGGGGCGAACGGGCCTTGCCTCCAAGCTGTTACCTCCCCCCCCCCCCCCCCCTCATCAAAATATAAGAGAGAAGGAAGGAAAGGGAAAGAAAAAGGGAAAATAGGAGATAAGGGGAGAAAAAAAGAGGAAAAAGAAAAAAAAGGAAAAAAAGGGGGATATCAGCTTCGATTTTCCCGCCAACAAGTTGTAGTTCGGGGTGCGGGCAAAATGCCCTTGCCTCAAGCCCCCCCCCCCCCCCAACCCCCGCCCCCTTAAAGGGTGGAAGAAAGGGAAAGAGAGGACATAAAAGGGAACAAAAAAGAGGAAGAAGAAAAGAAAAGGGTGAAAAGAAAGGGAGAACAGTTGCGATTAATCCCGCCAACAACGTGTGGATCGGGAGGGGGGAGGCCCTTGCCTCCTCCCAGCAAACCTAAACAGAGAGAAGGAAGGAAAAGGAAAGGAAAAGAGAGAAAAAAAAGAGAAAAAAGAAAAGTAGGGGAGATCAGTAAGATTTTTCCCGCCAACAAGGTGTAGATCGGGAGGGGGACACTGGCGTTCAGATGGGTGAGGGGGCTTGGATGGGGGGGGGGGGTGACAGATGCCCCCAATATCATTCAAACGTGCTTTATTTCTTATTCGATACCGGTGATTTGCAGATGTTGCTGAAATGTTTAGTAAATAATACTTTTTATGCGTTTGTTGGAAAATGGCAAATTCTTAAAGAAAGAAAGAAAAAATAGTGACCTGCCTTTATCACAAAATAATAAGGTGTCAAAATTTGCTCGTGTGAGCGTGATTAAATGCCTAAAACCCCTGAGCTTCCGGGGGCTCTGCCACCTCGATTCTATCTAGGGTCCTAAGGCGGGCACCTGGATGCTCATCTGACGGTAATTTAATGCTTAAAACCCCTGAGCTTCTGGGGTCTCCGCCCCCTGGACATCATGCCGATTAGTGTCCTGCCAGTATCACAAATAAGGTATCAAAATATGTTCGTCTGACCGTTATAACATGCCTAAAACCCCTGAGCTTCTGGGGGCTCCGCCCCGTGGACCCCACGACAATTAGTGACCTGCCAGTGTCACAAATAGGTATCATTATTCTCATCTGCCCGTAATTAAATGCCTAAAGCCCTGAACTTCCGGGTCTCTGCCCCCTGAACCCAACAAATGGCGCTAAGGCGGCCCCCTGGATACTCATCTTACCGTAATCTATTGCCTAAAGCCCCTGGACCCCACGCCGATTAGTGTCCTGCCAGTATCACAAATAAGGTATCAAAATATGTTCGTCTGACCGTTATAACATGCCTAAAACCCCTGAGCTTCTGGGGCTCCGCCCCGTGGACCCCACGACAATTAGTGACCTGCCAGTGTCACAAATAGGTATCATTATGCTCATCTGCCCGTAATTAAATGCCTAAAGCCCTGAACTTCCGGGTCTCTGCCCCTGAACCCAACAAATGGCGCTAAGGCGGCCCCCTGGATGCTCATCTTACCGTATTCTATTGCCTAAAGCCCCTGGACCCCACGCCAATTCGTGACCTGCCAGTTTCACAAAAAAGGTATGAAAATATGCTCATCTGATGCTGGTTTAATGTATAAAACCCCTGAGCTTTTAGGGGCTCCTCCCCCTGGACCCCACACCAATTTTTGTCCTGCCAGTGTCACAAATAAAGTATACAAATATGCTCATCTGACCGTAATTATTGCCTAAAACCTCTGAACTTCTGGGGGCTCCGCCCCCTGGAACCTATACCAATTTGTGTCCCGCTAGTGTCACAAATAAGGTATCAAAACATGCTCATCTGACCGTAATTTATTGCCTAAAACCCTTGACTTTGAGGGGGCTCCACCCCCTGGACCCTAGGCCAATTCGTGACCTGTCAGTGTCACAAATAAGGTATCGAAATATGTTCATCTGACCGTAATGAAATGCCTAAAACCCCTAAGCTTCCGGAGCTCCGTCCACTCGACTTCACCAGGGGCCCTAAGGCGCACCCTACATGCTTATAAAATGCCTAAAATCCCTGAGCTTCTGGGGGCTCAGCCCGTGGACCCCACGACAATAAGTGATCTGCCAGTGTCACAAATAAGGTATCAAAATATGTCCATCTGACCGTAATGAAATGCCTAAAACCCCTGAGCTTCCGGGGCTCCGCCTCCTCGACTTCACCAGGGGCCCGCTTATCTGACCGTTATAAAATGCCTAAAACCTCTGAACTTCCGGGGACTCCGCCCCCTGGAACTCATACCAATTTGTGTCCCGCCAGTGTCACAAATAAGGTATCAAAGTATGTTCATCTGACCGTAATTAAATGCCTGAAACCCCTGAGCTTCCGGGGCTCCGCCCCCTTGACCCCCCGCAGGTGCTTCGCCCCTAGGCCCCACGCCGATTTACGCAACGCTCTACCTGATCGTAAATACCTACTACCCCTCAACTACTTAGAGAAACGTTCAGCGGGGCCTACGTGTAAGATTGGAGCTGGTGTAGATTTTTTTTGCCTACCCCCCCCCCCCCCCCCCGTCCCCAAACGTTTGTGCTTATTTCGCCACTGCCGGTGTCACCATTACGTACCAATATTTGGCTCGCATAATTTCAAATTTGGCCCCCCCCCCCCCCTAAGAAATCCTGGATCCGCGCCTGGTTCAGGCTGTGGTTGGTCTGGTGTCATTCTTTTCGGTGTGACTGAGTTAAAGTAATGAACCACTAAAACACAATAATCGCACACCTCGGGCTTTATTGCGAAAACAACAAATCAACCTCAGACAACCTCCAATTGGCTTGTCCATCATATTTTGAAATATGTGAAAATTACAAAGGCTTCCAAAGCATATTCACGTTTTTTCGAACATTAATCTTATTTGATATGTATAGTATACGGTATTAACCCTAATAAGGCCGGGCTATTTGAAGTCTTAGTAGGGCCGGGGGGGCCATTATGGCCCCCCCTCAAGATCTCGGCCGCGAAGCGGCCGATCGCCGCGAAAATTTGCACGCATGTCAAGTGAAGTGTAAAGAATAATATGATCATTTCAATTTTTTGAAAAATTCACTCATTTGCATATTTATGGTAATTTATGCAAATAAAGTCATAAAAATCACATTTTTACCAATAAATCATATATTATTCATATTTAAGCATTCTTTTTCACTAGATATATTCATTAGACCATTCTGAATAATAATAACACAAAAAAATTGGAAGAGCCAGCTTATTTCTTATGTTATCCCTTGTTTTGATAATTTCTTATGTATTTCATTGTTTTTTTTAACTTATGTATTTCATTGTTTTTGTTGTTTTATTTATCTTTTACTACAATTCAACTATTTTGACTCCCAAAACAACCACCTAAGCTTTAAACAAGACCCAATAACCCATGTTTGATCTGCTTTTAGGAAAAATGACTTTGCCATACGTTTTGTACACAAATCACGAAAATGAGCGATTTTCAGGCTGACATGCGAAGACAAAAGGTCACGTGACCTTGTAACCGTAGGTCCGATTTTCAAAAAAATTATTTTAAAAGTTGCGCAAGACTCGAAGAAAAAAGTCAGCGAGCGGCGGGGCGCCATCCATATGCGTTCCCGAGCAATCGAAAAAATTGTGGAGGGGGGGGGGGCCATAATGGCCCCCCCGGCCTTATTAGGGTTAAAATAACCATTACATTGATTTCACAGAAGTCTTTGCTATAGTTTTTTGCGATAAAATGGCCAACAAAAGGGAAAAGGAAAGAGCTTGAGAGAAAGAGAGAGTGAGAGAGAGAAAGAAAGAGAGAGAGAGAGGGAGCGGGGGGGGGGGGCAGAAGCCAATATAAAAAGAATATTCAATTACTACCAATTCCTCACTTGATTGTCTTGTTCAAAAACAGAAATTAATTATATGTTTGCACACGGCAAATGGGAGAGTTATCCAAGTGCAACGTCACAATCCACTGACCGAATTACCAATTTGAGATTCGCATAGACTTAGTGATCTCATATTTCAAACATTCATAACTTCCTTACTATAAGTATGATTTAGATGCTCCTATAAGTTTCGGCTTGCATGGTGATGTAAATATACAGTAGGCATATAGTATGATTTATTTGAAACTTTTTGACATTCTGTTTCTATTATTTTTCTGCTTTCATACAAATCAACAACAAGGGTTGGATATACAGATGTCCCTTATGTTTCTATACCGATGCATCGACCGCCACTGTTCAAGATAAGATAAACGCGTTAAATACGTATACTATCTATAATACTTTTAAATCTCTCTCTTTCTCTTCTTTATTCTAATTATTAGGTGCCAGGGTGGAATGACACAGTGTGCGAGGAGGAGTATGGGGCGCCATGTAATCTCATCACCAAGAAGACGTTTAACATTCCATTTGTGGAAGCGAATGGAAGTAAACTAGAGTTTCAAAAATGCGCACGGTTAGTGATCAGGACAGTCTTATTATAAAAACTTGAGTGGCCATTGTATTTATTTTGCTTTATAATAACCACAATTAGAGTAATTTTAACCAGTTGCAGCCGTGTTGTGTGCGTGTGTGTGTGTGTGTGTGTATGTGTGTGCGTGTGTGGGTGCGTTGGTAAACGCCATCAACCGCGGACCACTCCATAGAAAAATACCGCAAACCGCGGACGTACCTGCAATGGGGGACCGTCCACGGTTGCGATCCTGGTTTTCGCCGTATAAAATTTACGACGTAGGGGGCGTTTGAATATTAGATGTCACAGCGTGTAGCCAACATCGAGTGGATCAGTTGTATGTGTATCGCGAAATGTCACAGCGCCCCCTTCGATGACTGCGCGGGAAAGGCGCGCTACCTGCTATCATCCCATAGCAGGTACGTCCGCGGTTTAATGTAGTTTTCTATGGAGTGGTCCGCGGTTGAAAGCAATTACCCATGCACACACACACAAGTACTAAACTTCGTCCACGTTTGACGCCATAAAGTGGTGTGTGGGTGTGTGTGAAGGGGTAGGGATATGATCCTCCATCTCATACGCAGGATGATCAGCAATTATGAAACTTGGCTAGGCACATTGGTTTATACAAAATATACTCTGCCTCTGGGTTGGAGGTGACATTATGTTTCTTGGGGGGTAGCGGGCAGCCGCGAAGCAAATGGTTCTTATTACCATTAATAAACATCTATCTATCTAAGTAGGCCTATGTTCTCCCAGTTCGGAGGTTGATTGCGATAGTTTTCTTGACATTCATGCATAATCATATAGACCAAACTCTTCACTTTTGACTTTTACAATTTCCATAAACATATCAAATATAAATTGCTATTTTGTTTGTATTCGAATTATTTTTATTGCACAGGTACAACATATCTGACTTCTCGGGGCTCTCTGTTGTTATTAATGATAGCGCCACATCCGGGTACGACTCCTTGATCCGGGACCTAGGTGCTGATGGTACCCCGGATGTAATCCCATGTGATGCTGGTTGGGAGTATGACAGGAGCCAGTACACACGGACTTTCGTCCAAGAGGTAATGCATGGTAGCTACATTTCACACCTGTCCATTCAGTTCGACTGTTAAAACTTCTATATCAATGGGAAGATGATAACAAGACCGTTACCTAACTTTTAGCTCTTTAATAGATGTGATAACATAGCGGGGCGGGATGGATACCCTGATTTGGGCGGCAAATCTTCCCCTAAATGTCCAACTATATAATCTTATATAATGTTAAGATGTAAATTTTGTAATGTTTTAGTAGCCAAAATAACTTTAGGCTCAACTGTTGTGATAAATGCAAACTTTTAAAAAGATGATTGAGGAGACAGTGTTTTAATTTCATCCTCGGTTTAGATGGATTTGGTGTGTGCTGACGCGAAGTACATCCAGTTTCCTCAGTCGTTCTACTATGGAGGTTACTTGGTAGGAAGTGCGGTGTTTGGTATCCTAGGAGACAGGTAAGAATTAGGCCATCATAATAACGGCGGATGCAGGCTGGGGATGGTACTCAGATTAGGTTTGATGGTTGATGTTGATTAGGTTGATGTTTTTCAACAATGAAAACTTGTTTGCTTTTGATTAACTTTAAAGCCCCTCTAAAATGTTGGAACCCCAAATTTGCCCAAATGTCACTTAAATTGTATCATAATGTGTAAAAGGGTGTCATTTAAGACACACTTCTGCAAAGATCCCCCCCCCCCCCCCAATTGTGAAGACATACATAATTTTTGATTTTCTGTTGTACGCAGAAAACCTAAATTTTGTATTCTTTCAAAACAAACACATTTGTTTTGAAAATCCTTGCAAAAATGTATTTTAATTGACATCCTCTTTCACAATTATGATACAATTATTGTAGTGAAATCTGGCCATCGAAAACACTTTTGAAGAGCTTTAATTTGAGCTCATTTCTTCCTTTCTGAATTTGAATCATGTACATGTACCATGTGTTATTCTGTGTTATGAGAAAGGAAAATATCTGCATAGAACTTGACGCATTCATGGTAGACCCGTATAATTTCGTACAAAGAGTCCCTGGTAATGCGGATGTCATTAATACATTAATTTAATGTATTACAGAGAAGGAAGTAAAGCGAAGAAAGAGAGAAAGAGAAAATAAGGAGGATAGAGAGGGAGAGGGAGAGAGAGAGAGAGGGGGTATAGGTATGGGGATGATGATTAAATGATTTAAAGAAGAGTGGATGTGCGCGTGTGTGCGTTGGTGTGTGTGTGTGTGTGTGTGTTTGTGCGTGAGCGACGAAGACGGTGGGAGATTGATAGAAATGGAGAGAGTGCGTGTGCGTGTGTGTGTGTATGTGAACGTTTTTGTGCGTAGGGTGCCGTGGGTGTTGCATGATAATGATAATGATAATTATGATGATAATAATATACATTAATAGAGCGCAGACACTATATGCAAATCAGTTTCTACTGCGCTTACAGCCCCAAGGTGTGCTTAAATAAACATGAAGTTAAATGAAAAGACGTGCTGTTTAGTTTGATAGGAAAGGACAGATTCGTAGTGGTATATGTACGAAAAATGTCGTGAGAGAGAGAAATAGAGAGAGATGGGGGGAGGGTGTAGAGATGGGTGTGCGCGTGAGAATGTGTGTTTTGGACATAACTTTATGTCCGAGGGAGGGATGGCTGTATACGTCAAAGAGATAGTAAGCAACTACGAGGGTAATGGTACAAACTATCATCGCCGAGGTGATCTCGGGGCTACTATAATATCATCCCGAGATCACCGAGGCGATGATAGTTTGTATCCATTGCCCGAGTAAAGGAGGTTAATATTTGTTTTATATCCAACATCGGCAATAAGGTATATTTAAAGTGAATTTTACATAATTAAAAGAATTGATTCTGCAGACAGTTAGCTTCGGCTAGATTTTATAAAGCACAACACGCATACCTGTAATACATTCGATGCGCGCTCATTTGACATTAACATTGACATTGACATTTCGCGCAACGTACTTTGCTACGCTTATTCACTGGGCAAGTGGGGCAGCAGCAAAAAAATTACGGTACAAAAGTCCTATCGCAGGGAGATAGTATTTATATATCATTGATCATGTGACCTCGTTTAGACCAATCAGATTGCAAGATTCTTAGTATGCGGGATATAATGTTAAATGTATTATTATTATTATTCTTAGAGGAAGGGAAAGAAATAGAGGGGGAATCGACAATCCAGTTCTATAAACATAATGGGGATGGTATTGGGAGGAGAAATCTGTGAAAGAAACTGTCGAGGCGTTAAAGTCAAGTATACAGTCACAGAAACACGATTATACGTGAGTGAGCTTAAAGCCAATCTTGAACTCTGGTATGAAAATCGTATTTCGAGAGAAAATTGCGTTGATTTATTATTGATAATCCATATATCCCGCAGTAGATTGTTTTTTTTTTAACCTGTGAGATGAAGAAAAAACAAACGCACAAAAATATCTGAGCATCATCTTCGATAAAAACCACACCTCCTATATTTTGCACACAGTGACCTCGGGCCTGCTTCCATGATTTTCTAATCTTTCTATGCTCATTACTCAGCTACTATTATACCGAAATTATATAGCGTTTGTCATTTATAAATGTGATCTAGAACATTCAGTGTAAGCTTCGTTGGGATTCTGTGATAATTTATTTTCTATATTTACCAGAACCAGAAATTATTTGTGACTATGATCTTTTATTGAAAGATCAGGAACCAACAATTCGTCAAAATTGGGTTCTTTTTTAAACTGATGGAATTTAACTCCGAGACAGGGGGGGGGGGGAGGTGTGTGGTCAAAATCTCCCGGATTATGGAAGCCATACTTGTCTCTAGAGGGGTTGTTAATATTGTTCTTCTCATAGAAGTTAAATTATTACAAAGAAGAAATACTTTATGCCGTACTTCTTGTGGTACGAACCTTTGTTATCTTTTTAAGGTTTAATTTTAATCCAAAGCTGGGTTTAACTTTGGTCTAGTTTAATGAACGTTTCGTTCGATTCTGTGAGAATGTAATATCTATATTTACCAGAACTCACCGTATCTTTAAGTGTTGCAAAGTATTTGAGACTATGATCTATTATTAAAAGATTAAAAACCAACCAAACCGACAACAACAACGTTAGTTTCTTTTTTAAACGGATAGAGATTTAACTCCGAGACAAGGGGGGGGGGGGTGGTCAAAATCTCCAGGAATATGGAAGCCCTACTTGTCTCTAGAGGGGTTGTTAATTGTTCTTCTTAGAAAAGTTTAATGCTTACAAAGAGGGGTTGTTAATTGTTCTTCTTAGAAAAGTTTAATGCTTACAAAGAAAAAATACTTTATGCGGTATTTTTTGTGGTACGAACCTTTAGTATCTTCTTCAGGTTTAATTTTAATCCAAAGCTGGGTTTAACTTTGGTCTAGTTTTATAAATGTATGTAGATGATTAAGTTTCCCCTTCGTTTAAACCAGGGAGATCTTATTGACTTTGTCGGGTTGTCGAGTCGGGTTAACTGATTTTAATAGTCTATGACCTAATGATCGTTTACTAAAAGCGTAGTAATATTTGTTATAAGTTGGCCTGTGTGAAAACTTAAAAGTGGGTTAAACAAATGAGTGAATGTTTGAGATAAATAAGAGAATTGGGAACAATTAAATGTAGAGATGAAATATGAAGATCCTCCCATTTATAAGAAGTGCGGTGTGCACTATTATTTAAGGATTCGACTTCAAAACGAAATAATCCTTAACATGCATGATGAATCCAAAAAGAGTGAATTTTTTTCTCTTCTGCATGAAGAAAGTACCAATTCTGAAAAAAGTGACCTGAGAATCATATTGTGAATGCTTTTTTCTTCTTCCAGGTTTGGACGGCATCGAATGCTCATCTTCACCATAGTCTTACGTATCATTTCTGGGTATGCCCTAGTGTTGATTCATAATTACTGGCTATTTGCCGTGGTGAGATTCTTTCAAGGCGTCTTCCTAGTGGGATCCTACATCCTTACATTTGTGCTAGGTAAGCTCTGGACAACACATGGTGAAGGGGGAACCGAAAGAGAGAGAGAGAGACAGGGAGAGAGGGGGAGGGAGGCAGGGAGGCAGGGAGGCAGGGAGGCAGGGAGGGAGGGAAGGAGGGAGGCAGGGAAGGAGGGAGGGAGAGAGAGAGAGAGAAAGAGGGAGAGAGAGAGGGAGAGGAAAGAGAGAGGAAGGAGAGAGAGAGAGAGAGCCTTAAGGGACAAAACGTAAAAAAGGGAGATGAAAAAATGATCCATTCTACACCCTCCCCCTAATCAGTGGCTCTGAAAATGTGCATGTAATCCAAAAGACGGTTGCCCCAATTATGCCAGTACCCCCAATTATGCCAGTGCCACCTCCAAATACTGATCTAATGCCTCGCCATTGTAGGTCGTACATTGGGACTTTCATGGCATGGTATAACAATTCCAAATTGTTCAATTACGGTGCTGGTAATAAACACATGTCGAATGATGATATGAACTGATTTTCTTTTTCTTTAAAAAAAAGAGAAGACAATTAAGGATGAATAAGATGCCCTATATACGGGCACGACGAGACACATTTATCGGTTAGATCAATCTACCAACTGTTTAAAATGTGGAGATATTGTGTCTCTATCATGATCCAAAATCCAAGGAAAGAGGGAGGGGGAGGTTAATTAGCCTCTAGTCCGTTTTGATTCATAATTACTAGGCATTTGTCCTGCTTAGATTATTTCAAGTAATCTATGATCTTGGTATTAATGTCTACATTCATAATGTGCTTTGAAATGGAGGACTCTTCATATACTTCACATTAGATTTCATTATTGACCTTCATTATTATACATGTTGCGTTTTTATAAATAAGTTTGTGTATTTGATACAGGATGTACTAGTTGCTACATGCTAGAACACTATTTTGACAACGGTTTTTCGTTTCGTAATTAGGTCTTCTTATCATTTAAATACCTCTCCTTATCATTTAAATACCTCTTCTTTTCAATAGGTACCGAGTTTGTGGGCATCTCTAAGCGAAATGTTTCCGGCATCTTTATCAATATTCCGTTCGCAGTGGGATATATGCTACTAGCTGGAATAGCCTACTGGATTCGAGACTGGAGGATGCTTCAAGTTGCTCTGGTCACACCTTTATTCATCCTTTTAATTTTCTTGATGTAAGTTCTGGAAAATTTTCAGTCAATCTAATGTCCTTAAGCGATGCCTTTTATCCACATTGCTTATCTCCACAGGGTGTTGTATGGGTATCCGGTAGGATGCAGAAGTTATTGGAGTTTGCTCAGCATTGCGAGCGTCTGTAAAATAGCGCTGGCTGGAATGCTCCTGAAGGAGTGGAGAATGTGCAAACATTGCGCGCAGACATGCATGATTCTGAATACCGGGGTAATAATATGTCTATAAAACGCTTAAAGACATCGTAGAATAATAAAGCACTCATGAACACAGAATATTATTATCATTATTATTATTGTTATGATTAATATTGTCATTATTATCATTATTATTAATATCACCATCATCATCTTCATCAACATCATCATCATCATCATCCTTATCATCATCATCATCATCATCATCATCATCATCATCAACTATAGTTACAGTCAATAGTGTAACTGCTTATTGTATAGGGTCAGGTCATATTGTCTCAATCTATCTTCAATAGTTAAGTGACAATTCCAGTCTAGTTATTATTATCATTATCAATTTCAATCACCAGGACGGTGTATTCAATGTTTTGTTTGATATTATCTGAAGTACACTATTTTTCATGTTTAATTTGTTTAAAACCGATTAATGATAATTCAAGTATCATATATATACTTTGCCGTCCCTTACCATATTTTCTTATTCACTTGTTAGCGTACCTCGCCCACTATCGATGGGCTACATTCTAAATTCGAAAGAAGTTGAAGATTACACTTTCAGTTTCAATTCGCTACGCAGATTCGTCTGGATGAAATTGTTACTCACATCAATTTGAGGGGCATTAGTTCCAAGATGTTATGTTAGATTTATGCGATACATAGTATGTCTATGATGGCACCTAAGACAAACACCCCCCCCCCCCCCAAGACAAACACCCCCACCCCGAAAACAAATGTAGGCCTATATACAAACATATAAATAAATATATTTTATACACAGATATTTAGATTTACACATTAGTACAATAGCTTCATAATGATATCGTATCATTACTGACAGAACATTAACTACACAATAACCTTCCGAGATTATTATTATAGTCGCTCAAGTCGTTCTGTTTCAATTTATCCCAACACCCACAACGTAACAATCTTGCCCTACCAACCACGTCCTACCACCACGCCCTAATAACCAATCCCTCCCTCCTCAGTATCCTCCCAGAGTCACCCCGGTGGTTGATAAGCCAAGGTGAAACAGAGAAGGCGAAGAAGATCATCAAACATGCTGCAAAGGTTAATAAGGTCCAGCTTCCCGAAGATTTCCTTGACGAGCATGATGACGTCAACAAAAACGTGAGCTTTATCAGTAACTTTAAAATTCGGAATACTCCCCAGGGAGCGGAGGGTGTGCATTAGCATGTGTGGGTTAGCAATTAGACGCAATGACCAGGGTATTAATGATTACAATGTACAGCACTAGAAATCTATTTATAAGCGCTATACAAATGTGACTTTTATATTTCTGCCGGCCCTGTAGTTTTTCTGTGGCGGAACGCTTTTTTTGGGGTATTATTACTTTTTGATAGTTGTTTGAATGAAATGTAAACTCATATATTATAAAAGTGCAGATAAAGAGGGAAACAATTTCCCAGAGAACAGAGCCATACAGAGAGAGATAGATAGAAAGACAGAGAGAGAGAGAGAGAGAAAGAAAGACAAAAAGACACAGAGAGAGAGAGAGAGAGAGAAAGGCGGATATTTATTTAATCCCCTTTCGGCTAACTTGTACTGGTGATACAGTCATGTCTGACACGTTGGCTCATAAATATGAGAAGAAAAAAACTAATTCAGATCATTTTTCAATCTTTACCATTTTCTTCATTTCATTTTTGAAAAATATTAGTTGCAGGATGATACACACAAGGATGATACACAGAAGGATGATACACAGGAGAAAGAACGGCGGCCAAACGTCACTGATATATTCCGTTATAGGAATATGCGCAGGCGCATACTCATCCTCATGTATATATGGTAATATATTCATATTGTGTAAAGGAAATCTAGCTTTGACTCCAAAATATACACAGATCTTTTAAAAAATTAAGTGTTCCTTAAAGAAAAGTCACTCCAGAAGTGAAAGAGATACTTCATGAATAACTTTTTTTTAGAAGAAATAATCATTTTAGTAATGACTTTGTTCAGATACAAGTAAGTACTAATAAAGTTCTAGAAACAAATCTTCTACAACCGCGCCCTGATAGGACCTCGATCAAATCATGAAGCTGGGACAACTATAGACGAAATCGTCAAATAATACCAGTGATGACTTATGAAATGGAGAAAAAAAAGACAATTTACAGAAAAGTGTTCGAAATGATAACCGTATTAATTTTGTCTCTCTCTAACCAGGTCGGTTTGTGCAGTGGTCTACCATGGGTTTAACCTCAGTACTTCGAGCCTAGGTATCAATGTATACCTATCGTTCTTTGTGTCTGCTGCCATCGAGATCCCCGCCTATACCTTAGATATCTTCATCGTTCAGCACCCTTGGTTGGGGAGGAGGAGAAGCATGGTCTTGACGCTGTTACTTGGCGGAGTAGCATGTCTACTCACCATCTTCATAGGTAAGCTTGCTATCATATCAGCGAAATCATATAAAACGCGTTGGCAAAGGCTTTCGAGAAATCAATATTAGGCCATCTTACTAGCCTTGTCCATTACCTTTAAAAAATATGGAAATATATATTGCGATGAAGTAGTAAACATAGTAACCTGAACATGATTTCTGTAGTGGGATATTGATCTTGAGGTGGTATCTTGAGAGTCTTGTAGATCGGGTCAGATTATCTTCTTGTTATTCTGTTGTGTAGGTCGACACTTGACTAAACCGACAATCCTTGGGCGTTTTTGCCACTTTTCAAAGGATTCACTAGACGGACGGCCCACGAGAACTAAAGTCCACCAAACCGATAATTTTCTATCTTCCATAATTAATTCTTTGTTTTGTCGGTCTCATAATGCTGTCTGACACCATGAACGTATGTCTACCTCGTTGTTAGTAAGAAAAATGCATCATGAATTGTCTTCTTAAAATTCTTAATTGATAAAACAGGAAATTTGAAAAAGCGAAAAAGAAAAGAAAGGTGGCTTTTTGTCTTATTCTTAATTCTCTGTTTTTCTTCCTTTGTAGCTCCTGGTCCATTTAGAGCTGGAGTCGCCTTCATTGGGAAATTTGGAATCTCAGCTGCATTTGGTCTCATATACCTCTACACAATAGAACTATTCCCGACGTCATTGAGGTAGATATTGCACCACTATTTATCAATGGTGGGTCCAGGGGTCATGGGGTATGGGGCGGGGGTTACCGGGGTGCATGGGCAACATAATTGTTTCCAATGAATCACTTAGTTATGAGCTACTACATCTAGAATATTCTCTCATGGTTACATTTTTTCAAAATTAAACTCCGTGTTAGAATTTATGGGATCCTTTCTGCATACAAACCCAAAGCCACAAGTAAGACGATCGCATAACGTTTCCTAAAAAGGAAAATACATTGAACGCAATTTCGGTAGTCTTGTGCATCACACTTAAAAATGTGAACTTTAAAGCCCCACTGTCCTACGTAATTAGCTACTTGCTCCCTCTATATAGAAAACTTCCCAAATCGGTGCCTGTTGGTCCCCAATGATCCTCTTTTTCTTACGTTAGTTGAGAGCTGAGTTAATGAGATAGCCACCTGTCAGTGACCTCGCTGTGTGGTCTAATCCCTTCTGGCCCAGTAGTAATGACGGTCTTTAAAGTAACCTATTTCACAATCCGAACATGGTTTCGTTAAGCAATATCCAGTTAATTAAATTTGTTGAAGTCTTTGCAATCGTCAGAGGTTTAATCTTGAAGATTAACGATGTGGTTTTTGTTGTCGTTTTTTCCCCCAAGGACCGCCGGGTTGGGGATCTGCTCTATGACAGGACGCATCGCTAACATCCTAGCCCCCTTGATACTCCTAACCACAGAATACTGGATCCACACTCCACTTGTTATATTTGGCAGCTGTACAATCCTAGCCGGTATCTTGTGTCTCTTCTTACCAGAGACCAGGGGCAAGAAACTACCAGAGACCATTGAAGATGGCGAGAACTTTGGAAAGTAAGCATGGGTGTCGATCCCGGGGGGGGGGGGGGGGGGGGTGGGGGGTATATCCCCCCCCCCCCAATATTTCAGGTGGGGGATGGCCTGTACAATCATTCCCCCCCCCCCAATAATTCACCATCAAAAAAAAATGAAGAGAAAAATGAATGATGAGAGCCCGATGAGAGTAGTTAATGGTTTTTACTCGCAAGATGACCATCAATATACACATTTTGCTATCTCATTTTCATAATATATACATATATACGAAGTAAATAAGACAACCGTATATGAGGCAAGAATAAATTGAATTCTCGCTCATACGGCTTCATCAGGAATTGATGAATTTATTCAATTTGTTCAATCAACAGCATCATAGAAATGCAGTGCGCCAAATGCAAAGACGCAGCGTCAAAAAGCAACGAGCTAAATGTTAAGCGCGAGGCCCCAAAGTAGCAATCTGCAATGCACATCAGGCAATCCTGGAAAGTGTAAACATAGATGAACTCTGCGACGATTTCGTTATGAGATCGGAGACAAGGAGAAAGATTTTCGGACATTAGTATGACTTATAAAATAGTTCACTTGTTGTTATGTTGTTTCCGTTCACCCTTTTTAAAATCATGTCATTGTATCTTTATTTTTTTTTTTTCACTCATTTTATTTCCTGATATTTCCTAAACCATTTTTCATTTTTGGAGAAAGATTGTCATAACTTATTTGTGACACAACTTATTTTCAGTGGGGAAACTGAATTCAGACAAGGATTAATATAGAGAACAGTAGAACGAATCGTCTTCTTTCTCTAATAAGTTAGTGAAGAGGGGAAAGCTGTTAGGGGGAACTGAATTCAGTTCAGACCTGGATTAAGAGTAATAATCTAATGAAACGTTGGAGCTTCCGCGCTACGCGCGGGGGAAGGGAATTTGATTCAAACATTAAGGATTAAGAGTCAAGAATGGTACATCGAATCGTCTTCTTTCTTTAATAATCTAATGAAACGTCAGAGCTTCCACGCTACGCGCGGAGGAAGGGTAACTTGATTCAAACAAGGATTAATATAGAGAACAGTACAACGAATCGTCTTCTTTCTCTAATAATTTAGTGAAAAGAGCAACGCTGTTAGGGGGAACTGAATTCAGACCTGGATTAAGAGTAATAATCAAATGAAACGTCAAAGTACACGATACAACATATCGTCTTCTTTTACTAATAATTTAATGAAACGTGAAAGCTTCCGCGCTACGCGCGGAATGGGCGAAAATGTATACAGACAAAAGAGTAAATAATTAATTGAAACGTTAAAGAGGGGGGGGGGGGTAACTGAATTCATGAAGGACACGGTACACAAATCGTCTTCATTCTCTAATAATGTAATAAAATGTGAAAGCTTCCGTGCTTCGCGCAGGAATGGGCGAAAATGAATTAAGACAAGGATTAAGAGTCGAGAATGATACATAGAATCGTCTTCTTTGTTTAATAATCTAATGAAACGTCAGAGCTTCCGCGCTACGCGCGGAGGAAGGGGTGCAACTTGCCACATGCTTCTACCTCTTGGTTGCTTTTATCCATTGCCGAAAATATTTTGGCACCTATCATCCCCCCCAACCACGGATACAAATCGACACCCTTGAAAGTAAGCGTAACAGTAGAGCTTATACCCATTGATTATCGGATCTGAGTGGGTCCTAAACATTAAGCCTACGGACAACGGGTTAAAATGATGGCTCAGTGGTACGGTATAGAGGGTTGTATATATAAGAGTGGTGGAGTAAAAGTGATTGGGTAGGCCAATGGTAGACCAACACTCTACCTAGCCCTAAACCCTAAAGCAAACCACATCTAAAACCCAAATTGTAGCCGTAGCATAATAATTTTTATTTAACAATCTTTGACCAAAATATAGATGATTCACTATACTAGACCAACGCTCCATCTCAGATCGACAGCTTAGGAGATTGACATTGCTTTATTTTGCCATTATGTCGGCTCATAAAATACAGGGGCGGATCTAGGGGGTTAGGGGGTCCAACAAAAAAAGAAAACATTTTTTTTTTAATGTCGGGGGCAAAAATGATTTTTGTTGTTGTAGTGCTTGGTACCCCCCCCCCCCACCCTGAAATATTGGTCGGCACCTTTTTAAAATGTCGGCCCCCCCCCCCCTCTTCGAAAATCCTGGATCCGCCACTGGGTCACCCCCCCCCCCCCCCCTCCTTAGCAAAAAGCTAGAACCGCCCCTGAAATATCGATCTCGTAGACCTTTCCAAAATGTCGATCTCATGGGTCGTCCCGGTCTCCTAGCTTGTCGGTCTATTGGGAGGAACCAATTTTCAATTCATCACAGTGTGTGGGCTTTTTTATTAAATCAATATTTTTTGTTTTGACTTCCCCCCCCCCCCCCCCCCATTTTTTCAGGTTACTAGCAAAAACTGTCCTACCCGATGAACGGATTTGACGATAATTCGGATACAGATGTCGGCGAATGGCTCGAAGGGTGACAAACTTGGAGTTTAATTCGCATGGTCGCTTTGCAGTCTGACGGCCTTTTAGTTTACCCGACAAAATTAATATACAGTTAGCCGACTGAGCTCTTATATATTTTATGTGATAATTGAAACCCCCTATCGTTCAATGACATTTCATTTATGTGAACTGAGGTGGTATGCGTCGCTAAAAAAAGGGGGTGGGGGTATAGTGTTGAGCAGGAAGTGTGAAGAATTGTACGAAGAGGTGTAATAAGGGTGTGGTACCCCTGCCCCCACTCAGGCCATTAAAATGTTCTCTCAGGAAAAATCTGGCGGTTGCTTTAGAGCTTTGCCGTAAATCTCAAAACAAATTCGCGCTTTTAAGCTTGTCGGAGATGTTTTGTGACGTCAGTCGGCATTACCCCCCCCCCCCCCCCCCCCCCCCCCACTGTCTTCCAATGATTTACCATGCATTTATTTCAAAATCTGGGGACCAATTTTTTTATAAATTGTTCGAATTGCTCGTCGGAATATATTTTGATCCGCACCACCCCCCCCCCCCCAGTCAAAGTGGTGTAGCGTCGCCCATGTGTAAACAAACGTTATCATTGTTTGTTATCAACATACGGTCAACCTGACCATTGAGGCTGGTCATGGAGTATTTACAGTGAACACGCACTTTCTCAGTGTCTAGAAACCGAGAAAGTGCATGACCACTGTAAATACTTAGGTAATTTTCTATAGAGGTTCAACACATTTATTTTCGAGGGAGACAAAACGCATGCCCACTAGAGGTGGCCACTTATAGACAGGTTTGACTGTATGCTTTCAAAAGTATGGCATCTTAATTCTTATTATTAATATAATATGCAGCATACTACGAATATTAACTAAAGATTACAGGACTGGCATAAGGTAGACAAATAGTAGTATATGATATTCATTTTGTACATGTATTCAAATATGTTATTCAGAGATTGATTTTCAATAAAATGGCTTGTCGGAGGGTCCAAAATAATGGAGAAACAAACACAAGGTAGACAGACAAATGATTTTTAATAGGATAAGGGCATGAGATGGCTCAGGCAGAGATGCCAACCTCTGGACACAAAAAATCAGATTTTGGAGAGAAAAATCAGATTATCACGAAAACTCGACACTACCAATGGCCGGTTGATCCCGGGCCAGTAACATTTCAGAAAAATGTGATACTGGTACGTACGGTCAAGTAAAATGCTTGCTCTTTCATTAAAATTTTAAAAGAAAATTGTAAAGTAAAGTTTCTGTTGGGGTTGCAGGGGACTTGTACATGTTTCTATGAGATTCCGTGGTTTTTATGGGTATAAAAAAAAAGTTTGTTGAAAAATCGAATTTTAAGAGGTGATATCGTATTATCGTATTCCACTCTTATTATCGTATTCCACTCTTATTATCGTACTCCACTCTTATTATCGTACTAAATACGATTAAATCGTATTGGTTGGCATCTCTGCTCAGGAGTTGTCCCTGGAAGTTCTCTTGACTTTCAGCGTGCACTACATTTGCTGGATGCTGGAATGTTGTTCTTTTAAACATTTAAAATAAATGCATTTATTATGAACGTAATTTGTATGTTTTGGAGAGAGCAGAGACACTCATGTTGTCTTGCGTGGAGTCAATAAGTCCTGTCCTATATTCTTTTTTATCTTTTTAAATGTTTCTTATATTTCGTTGCTGATTTTTAAAATCATATCAAAACGAGTGTTTTTTTCTTTCCAGGAGGTGCTATCATAATGTTGAACAGTAAGATTGTTGTATTAAGATTATGGGATTATTGGTGCTTTTAACATGGCTGTGAATATATTTTTGTATTCGTATATTCTTGAGCAGCTTATCACAATTTGATATTGAAATGTGTGTGAGAAGGTGCTCTATGTTGATAACTGTGCTGTTATGGCAATGTTCAGTTATCACATTTGAAATTTTCACTGCCATATGATCATGTTACTGAAAATGTCACAAGTTAGTTTATGTATATTCGCATTGTAGTAAGCATATTATGGATTCTTTTATTTTACCTTCAAAGGTAAACTTCTGTGTAATGTAACAGAAGACTATATCCATCCTAGACTTAGATGGCGGTTCAGAAAATGCATTTCGGAGGGAGGGAGTCTGATACCAAGTGGAATTACGGGAAGTATGGGAAGTAATATTGGTACGAGGTCTATTTTCAGTAAAGGGAACTGTGGGAAAATACAGAAAGCACTTTATAGCAATAAAATATGTGGTCAGATGGAACAATTGTCAAATGATAGAAGTTGTTTGTTTTTGTGTCTGTATTTTGGTTTGTGTATGTTTGTTTATTTATTTTCTTTCTGTTTGTTACCATTTTTTTTATTTTATAAAATCGTAGAAATATTATGAGAGCAAGGTAGTTGGAAATTAACCGAGAGAGAGGGAGAGAGAGAAAGGGGTGTGGGCGAGATAGAAGGGGAGTGTGTGCGTGAGAAAGGGAATGAGAGAGAGAGAGAGCCTAAGAGTGAGAGAGAGGGAGAGAGAGAGAGAAGGGAGGACATGGGTAGGGGAAAGAATCACTGGGATGTATTAAGGGGAGAGCTAACAGATGAGACATAGCGCTTGGATCATGGCAAACGGTAGCCCCATACGGCAATGGAAAACCACCCCCCCCCCCCTCTCGCGAATATCACATTTGGAGAAGGAAACAAATCAAATTCAAATTAAATAATTTTAATCCAAACATACTTAACTTTGGTTTAAACAAAGGATAAACAAATTAATTATAGTGTAACAAAGATAGTTGAGAACAACGTTCACATCTTATAAAGACCAATTTCTCTCATTTTTCTGCTTTCAATTGAATTTAGTGATAATTCTTGTGTAATGAGTTTATATCAGAGTGACACAAACTATGTCTATCAACATATCTTAATAGGTAGAGCACCCCAAAAATGAGAATACATCACAAATATTTAATTATGATTTTGTATAAAAGATCTCATTGAATGCTTAATTTGCTACTAACATTTTGACAATTTTGACAATCCAAAATATTTGTATTTTTTGACAGACGGTTATGGTGCTCCAAAGTAAAGTCAGTATCAATGACTAGACTTGTTGTATTTGAACACACAGGGCCGAATTCACAAAGGAGGTTTGTCGACCAATGGGCCAATGAGTTGTCAAAAATGCCAATTTGTTTAACATTTGTTACACATCTGCCGGTGCAGAAAATAAATGTCCAAAATGTGACTAAAAGCAGCGAATTATATATTTGCAATTTGCATTTAACCATAACAAAAAGAAAACTATGATAATAGAACAAAAATGAAATGAAAGGAAATGTTTACAATGCCATGAATTTCAGTACATCTATTTGAGAAGAATGCAGTTGAAAGGCAAAATGTGCTAAAGATAGAATGAAAGGGACTTATAAAGTGCAGTAAACCCTTTTGGCAAGCGATTCAGAAAAATGAAATCAAATTTATGGCAATTCGGTACATGTATATACATGTATTTCATTATCTACTGCATGCAAAGATTATATCACTATGAACATGACGGACAAAGAAAGAGGACAAAATATACCTGTACTCAGGTAGATAAAGGAACATCCCTTCACTGCTATTATGTAAAAATGTGTAGAACAGGTGTCACAAAAGAGAGAGAAGGCTCACGGGGCTCTTTTCTTTTAGGAAGAGCCCCCGTGGACAAAAAATTAATTTGAGCCCTGCTGACAAATGATGTCACAAGGGAAATGAGATCTGGAGGTTTTTGGGGTGGAGCTTAGCAAGTTTGAAAAACAAATATTTCAAAAAATATTTAAAAATCTATGAAACAAATTCAGAAGTTTACATATCAAAATATGAGATGTATGCAGGACTGCACACCAACAGGAATACATTTGCATTTTGATGTCATGGACCATTTAATCATTTTCCCGATAAAAAGTCACAGCTCGTAAGGGGAAAAATTGCCGGCCAACCGACATAATACATCTCACCGACTTCAAACTTGATATAGTACACGAGGATCGAGTAAGAATACCGACACAGCGGACCCGACACAGCAATATACTTATCTATGCGTATCTTTCTCGCCCCCTCGACGTGGTGACTCCGCCCAACATCCCCCTCTCTCTTTTACTCCCACCCATCTTCTTTCAGGCTCTGACCCCCTTTCTCTCTCTTCTCTTTCATCCCTCGTTTCTTTTGTTTCCTTTTCATCTTCATGTTTTCTTTTCTCTTTTCCTTTCTTTCCTCTCCTTCCTCTTTTTCTTTTTTCTCTTCTCTTTCCTTTCTTTTCCTTTTCTTTTCTTTCCCTCTCATTTCCTCTCCCCCTTTCCTCACTTTTCCCGACAGCAGCGCAATTTTACCGCCAATATCCTGACAGGTGGGGGTGGGGGAGGGGAGGGGGGTTGTCGCACCCCCCCCCCACAAACCCCTTTAGCGACGACCCTGGTTGTTATCCCAATATTCTTTTAAAAGAAATGCAATTCCTCATACTCTCGCACCTCTCTTCTATCGCTGTTTAATTCTCTTTTTTTTTCTTTTCTCCTTTTAATCACAAAATTCTCTCTCCCCCCCCCTTTTTTTCTATCTCTATGTTTTCTGCATACAACAGAAAATCCAAATTACCAGTTTATTTTTTAATCAATATTTATATTTAAACGCATTTTTTTTTTTTTTTTTTTGGGGGGGGGGGGGGGATCTTTGCAGAAGTGTTTCTTTCAATGACGTCCTCTTTCACATTTTGATGAAATTTAAGTGAAAATTTGCCATCAATTTTTATGGCGAATTTGGGGTCCCAACACTTTGGCTTTAACATATAAGAACATCTCCCTTGTACCCCACTTATCTATTTAATGTGTTTAAAAGCTTCATTTTGTACTCTGGTGACCCAATTGCAGATGAAGATACACCATACACCATATTATCATCGGTGATTGTGACTCGAGATTTCTTTTTATTTGTCTCAATTGTCTAAACCATTCTTTAAAGCTTATCTGCCATAGTGTACAGGAGGGATTAGACCGCCCTACAAGGTCACTGGACAGGTGGTTATCTCATCAACTCAGCTCTCAGTTAACATAAGAAAAAGAGGATCATGGGGGACCAATGGTCACCGATTAGGCATTGTTTGTTATATAGAGGGCGCAAGTAGCTTCAAGTAGTGCAGTGGGCCTTTAATTTATTCAAATTTGTTCTACTTGGGTAAACCCAGGCAAATTTTCACTTATGAAAACACACTCCATCCAAAATTGATTCCAACAATAACAGAGACAGGGTCCAGAGTAGACTTCTATTTTATTTCCCATATTTATTTAATAAATAGAAAAGAATAATGAGTTCAACATTTCTTTTCAGAATATTACACAAGTACAGAATGAGAAACGATTATACTGTGGAAATAATCACTGATAAGTACATGCACCATCGTGTGTA